GCAAGCACATAGTTATACTTTTTTTCTGACTTTTCAGTTTATTATATTTCTCTCTCTCCCACAGATATTCATTGTCAGACATTCACTCAGTCTCAAGATGTGGTAAAAAACCCAGGTTAATCTTTTCGGCTGGTCTGTACTGCCTCTGGATATTCATTCAGCAGCTACTGGGCAGGTGTAGTGAGACAGGCACCTGGTAAAGGGCTGGAATGGGTTTCAACTATTGGCGGATCCAGTTCTCAGAAGTACTATTCCCAGTCAGTTCAGGGCAGGTTCACAGTGTCCAGAGATGATTCCAGCAGTCAACTGTACCTACAGATGAACAGCCTCAAGACTGAAGACACTGCTGTGTATTACTGCGCTAGAGAGCCACAGTGAATGAGTTCAGTGTCAAAGCAATACAAAAACCACCACCTTTCCTGTTGACTTCACTTATGCTCCAGATGTACTGTTTCATTTCCAATAGGTGGCGCTGTTGTCAAGCAGTCTTATTTTAGTGTTTCGGACATCGCTCACTGAATGTTTGTTTCTTGACCAAGAAACAGACAGTCTAAATTCAAAGTCTGAAGAAACACAAAAAGCCTTATAGTAGCTTCATTGTGAAATGTGTTCTTATGTGTTTTTTGTGTGTTTCTGTATTATTATTATTATTATCTTTTATATCAGTAAATTATGAACTTTAAACAAAAACACCTATTGCATTTATCAAAGCTGGTAATTTACAGATATTTTACAAAAAAATAGATATAAATATAAAAAAATAAACATGAGAACGTATTTTATGATGAAGCTACTCTACGAGCAACGATGCTTTTGAGAAACGCACCCCAGGACTGCATTTTACTACAAACTTGCAGCAAGACCATTACTGGTGCTACCAGAATGACACACTAAGGAAGTGTCGCAATAGCGTTGCAAATATTCAGTGCCTTTATGTGAATATTACAAATGTAGAATGTATAAAGTCAGATGAAAGAACTTCATACATTATACTGTACTTTAATGAAACTTGTCTGCCAGGTGTCTGATTAAAGTATTGGTAAAATAGATCTACTTAGTTAAAAATCTTTAAAGAATATTTGTAGCAGATTTAGTTTACCAATACTTTCGACAGGCATAGAGGCAAGTTTTGACCTTGACAACATGTCTTAAAGTGCCATAATGTATCTTCCTGGTGTATTTTCCTCATCTTTTTTTTTTTTTTTTTGATCACTGATGTTGTCTTTTTTCTGTAGAAAGCAATTATTGCATAAATAAATGACAAACTGCAACATCTTGGACAACCGAAGAGATGTATGCTGTGCTGCATACTGTGAGCTTCACTGATGCTTTATTTAAACTCTAAACTAAAGCAATGAAATAAGCTTCATAACTGTTAGCAGAAGTTTTGTGACATAGTTAATAATAACACATTCTTTTTTTTCGTTAGTGGTAGCACTAACATTAAAGATCAGTTTCACCCAGGACACGTCCAAAAACACAGTGTTTCTACAGGGAAATCATTTTCAGACTGAGGACTAAGCTGTGTTTTACTGTGCCAGAGAGTCCCAGTAACTAAACAAGCCACAGCTCTGTACAAAAACCTGAACACATGAATCAGAGATATGTAATACCAGAGGCATTTAGCCTTTCATCAGCATCCGACACCAGCCCCCAAATAAATAGTCTTTACCTGAAGTACAGAGTCATTTACAAGCTGCACACGCAATAAAGAGCTGCTTTGTTGTTGATAAACGATAAAAGACATTTGCAAGTTTTGTTTCCTACAATAGATTTTTGGCAAATATCCACCTCATTCAGTGCTCTTATTGTTTTATTTCTCATAAAATATCCTATTACTATTTTGGTGTGAGAAAGTGCTGCAAACAGTTCAGTGCCTGAGTGAACATTCATGAATCTGATCGTCACTACCGATTCTAAACAGGCAAAAACAAAAAAAAAAAAAAACTTGACTGTCACACATAACGCTCTGATTGTAACATTAACAAAGAAATGATTCTCAGGTCGGTAAACGGTAATATCCATTAACACAAGGATTTATTAATCTATCCACACTTTTCATCCAGGCGAAAATGCTTTAGAAATATTAATAATAATTTAATATTGATGAAATATGTTCTCATAAATGTCACATTTTCATTTCTGTTTTTTACTTACTTTATCTAGGCCCTTTATGCTGTTTATCATTCCACAATTAATTTTTTTTCACTTATGTTATTCATTTATTTATGTACAAATGTCCTTTTTTTATGCACATGTACAAAGAAGAATTGAGGCTGGAGGAGGAGTTCATGCAAAACTGGGATATTTATCTCTCATAAGCTGTTGTGCCACCGAAGTGTTTCTGTTCACTGTTCATGTGGTTTTTGCTGAAGAGCATCATTAGCAATGGCAACAATAATTAATTCAGTCCTGATACTACTATTTTTAAGTGGTTTGTTGTTTTCTAAATAATAATAATAATAATAATAATAATGATATATTACTGTATAAATGCTTTTAGTAAGCACAAAGTTATACTTTTTTCTGACTTTTCAGTTTATTTTATTTCTCTCTCTTCCAAAGATATTCATTGTCAGACCTTCACTCAGTCTCAAGATGTGGTAAAAAGACCAGGTGAATCTTTTCGGCTGGTCTGTACTGCCTCTGGATATTCATTCAGCAGCAACTGGGCAGGTGTAGTGAGACAGGCACCTGGTAAAGGACTGGAATGGGTTTCAACTATCAGCACATCCAATACACCATACTATTCCCAGTCAGTTCAGGGCAGGTTCACAGTGTCTAGAGAGGATTCCAGCAGTCAACTGTACCTACAGATGAACAACCTCAAGAAGGAAGACACTGCTGTGTATTACTGCGCTAGAGAGTGACAGTGAATGAGTTCAGTGTCAAAGCAATACAAAAACCACCACCTTTCCTGTTGACTTCACTTATGCTCCAGATGTACTGTTCCATTTCCAAGAGGTGGCTCTCTTGTCAAGCAGTCTTAGTTCACTGTTTTACCGAATGTTTTTCTTGACAGAGAAATAGACAGTCCAATTTTTAAAGTCTGAAGAAACACAAATATACATTAGAGTAGCTTCATCATGAAATGTGTTCTTGTGTCTGTAAAAAGTATGTTTCTGGATTTTTCTTTCTTTCTTTTTTAATATCTGTAAATTATCAGCTTTGATCAATGGCACTTATTGCATGTATCAAAGCTGGCAATGCACAGATATTTTACAAAATAAAAAAAGTTTTGCTTTGTACAAACACAAACATGACAACATATTTATGATGAAGCTACTCTAAGGCTGCTGCTCTAATGTATGAAGTAATGCTTACACTGGACATCTAATGAAATCAGGAGACAGGTAAAGAGGACTGTACAGGACTGTACCTTTACTACAAACTTGCAGCATGACCAACAGGCTACATTATAACCAGTACTACTAGAATAACACACTAAGGAAGTGTTGCAAATATTCAATGCCTACGTGAATATTAGAAATGTATAATGTATAGAACTTCATACTTTATACTTCATAAATTACTTTTGAAACTTGTCTGCCAGGCCTGTATCTACTGTAGTTAAAAATGATCTTTAAAGAAAATTTTGGGCTATAATAGATTTATTTTACCAATACGTTTAACAGACACCTGACATACAAGTTTAGATGTTAACAAAATGTCTTAAAATGCCGTTGTCAGGATTATTGCCCCTGTTTCTGTTCCCTTATTTGGTCATGTTCCTGTCCTCGTTTTGTAAATTAGTTTGATTAGTCACCCCATACACCTGTGTTTCCCCAATCATCCCCTGTATTTAAATCCTAGTCTGTGCAGTCAGCAGTTTCCTGCTGTCTCCAGTGTTGATGTACCCTGCGTTCCATGGATTAAAGACTGTTTCGTTTATTCCTCGTCTCCATCGTTCCTCGCCATCACAGATTGTGACAGAAGAACCGACCAAATACAGTTACCTCAGTGTGTCTACCCTCCGTTTTGTTTCCCGTTTTTACCCAGTGTCTTTTTTTCCCCGTTGTTCCCTGGATGGATGCCCTTCTTCGCCCCGCATACCTCCTTCTCCTGCTGGAGCAGGGGGACAAAGCTCTCGAGGACCATACTAGACTGTTCCAGCTGCTAGCAAGCACCACCAGCTACCCGGACGACGCGCTCTGTGCGTTCTACGACACCAGTCTAAACATGGAGTGCAGAGCGCCGTCGTCCGAAGATGGTCCTCGAGAGGATTTCGGCGCGTTTGTGGAGTGGATTCTGGCAAGAAACGGGTCACCTCTCACTGTAACTTCCGAGGATACACTCCGGACCCAGAGCCCAGCCCACCATCTCCCCGCTGTATCATTACGGTGTGAGTGCCGCGGGTCTGCCATCCTCCAGCGTCGCCATGGCTGGAGAATCCCTCACCTCCGCCTCCAACCTCCGAGGCCCGGACTCTGCCTCGGCCCGTAGACCCAGCGGCTCCACCTCTGATCCTAGCTCCCACACCTCCACCGTCACCCGTCGATCCACCAGCTCCACTGGGCTCACACTGGCTCCGCCTTGGTCGGCCGTCGACCCACCATCGCCTCAGGACTCCGCTCCTCCGGCTGCATCTCGTCGCTCCGTCCCACCGGCTCTATTAGGCTACTTCCTCCCGCCAGCTCCACTCTCTGTCGGTTCTACTCGTTACGTTGATGTGTTTCCTGCTGTCTCCAGTGTTGATGTACCCTGTGTTCCATGGATTAAAGACTGTTTCGTTTATTCCTCGTCTCCATCGTTCCTCGCCATCACAGATTGTGACAGCCGTAATGTATCTTCCTGGTGTGTTTTCCTCATCTTTTTATATGGTCACATATGTTGTATTGTAGAAAGCAATTATTGCATATACTGTAACAAATGAATAACACACTGCAACATCTTGGACAACCGAAGAGCTGTATGCAAATTCTTTACTTGCTCTTTATACAAAAGAGCAGTATCTGCTTTGTGGATCAGTAGGAGTAATAAAGCTGTGTGAACTTCAAACCATGATCTTCTCATCAGCTCTACTACTGCTGGCAGCAGCTGCATCCTGTGAGCTTCACTGATGCTTTATTTAAACTCTAAACTAAAGCAATTAAATAAGCTTCATAACTGTTAGCAGAAGTTTTATATCATAATTAATAACACATTCTATTTTTAATTTTTTTTCCATAGGTGGTGTTTTCTGTGTTGAGCTCACTCAACCATCTATGGTTGTGAAACCTCAAGAATCATTCTCCATCTCCTGCAGGATTTCAGTATCAAGCCATTGCATTTACGGGATCCGTCAACCCACTGGAAAAGCACTGGAATGGCTCGGATATCTTTGTAGTGGTGGTGGCACTAACATTAAAGACTCAGTGAAAAACAAGATCAGTTTCACCCAGGACACGTCCAAAAACACAGTGTTTCTACAGGGAAATAATTTTCAGACTGAGGACACAGCTGTGTTTTACTGTGCCAGAGAGTCCCAGTAACTAAACAAGCCACAGCTCTGTACAAAAACCTGAACACATGAATCAGAGATACTTAATACCAGAGGCATTTAGCCTTTCATCAGTACCCAGCACCAGCCCCATAGCTGCACACAATAATGACCTGATTCGTTGTTGATAAATGATAAAAGACGTTTGCAAATTTTGTTTTCTAAAATAGATTTTAGGTAAATACCCACCCCATTCAGCACTTTTTTAAAATTTTATTTCTTATAAAATATCCCATTATTATTTTGGTGTGAGAAACCGCTGCAAACAATTCTGTGCATGAGTGAATATTCGTGAATCTGGCATCGTGGATTGCATTCATACATGTATCCAGTTCTTACATCTTCTATTCCCAGTCAGTCCAGGGCAGGTTCACAGTGTCCAGAGATGACTACAGAGGTCAGCTGTACCTACAGATGAACAGCCTCAAGACTGAAGACACTGCTATTATTGTGCAATAACCAGAGGTGGGACCAAGTCATTGTTTTGCAAGTCACCGAGTCAAGACAGGCAAGTCCAAGTCGAGTTGCAAGTCCTCAACTTTAAGATTCAAGTCTTAAACAAGTCATTAGTTCTCTTTGCCCAAATTAGTGTCTTTAGTAGTGGTAAGTATTAATTACCATATCAAATTCATAGTAATTTATATCAGGAAGGCAGGTAGAATATGTTTGACATAGTTTAATTTCATGTGAGATGGGTGCCCTCAGTAAAACTACTCAAGTAAAATTTAGTGATTGTGCCAAAATAGGACAAACAGTGAAAAAAACTATTTTATTAGTAACAGAATAGCAAAGACAACTTAATTTCATAGAAATAACAGCTGTAACATACTTTGCATGTGTGCATAAGAATATATGCTTCTAGGTGTTATATCTCGTGAACGAGTTGAATGAACTGCTACATCTCTTTCGAAAATGAATGAGAGTGTACCTGGTCAGTCGGCCATTTAGCATGTCAATCTCGATTAGCACTCAGCAGAAAGCAGATGCAAAGCGCAGTTATAGGTACTGTGCACATACGCTTGTTTATATATTCATAATTCACATACAGAACATAACTCCACGTTTAATCCTATGAATGGGTAATTGTCTGACCAAACAATTAAAATGTTAATTATGCAAGAAAACCTTGTGCTTTGGTCATCTGAACAACTTATTTAGACTATTTATTTAATGAGTAGATTATGCACACATTTTAATAAAGCCAAATCAGTTTTTGTAACAAGTGAATACGTTCGTTGACTTAAGACACAACACAAGACACTCTTTTTCGCCACCTGCTGGCATATTTATGTTGAAGAAATGGTCACTGAACGAATCTGAACGAATCATTTTGGTGAACAAACTGAAAATGAACAAATCTCTTGAAAGAATCAACATTTCCATCACTATTTCTCATGCCCGCTCCGCGTCCCTGCTGCGCTCAAGCTGGGGAACAATAGTCCGTCAAAGGTGGGGAAACCATCCACCGGCCTTACGCCTTTTCAATGTGTACTCGGTTTCCAACCACCCGTTTCCCTGGTCCGGAGAACCCTCAGAGCTCCCTGCCATCAACGACTGGCTCCAACGAAGTGAGGAGACATGGAATACTGCTCATGTGCACCTCCAACGCGCCATCCGCAGGGTCAAGGAACAGGCCGACCGTCACAGGAGGTCAGGTCCCGCTTACACCCCAGGACAATGGGTCTGGCTCTCCACAAGAGAACTTAGCCTTCGGCTCCCGTGCAAGAAGTTGAGTCCCAGGTACGTGGGTCCATTAAAAATCATTAGACAGATCACACCTGTATCTTACCATTTGGCTCTTCCCTCTAATTATCGTATCTCACCCACCTTTCATGTTTCCCTGCTTAAGCCCGCCGGTTGTCCGAGAGGAGAGAGGGACCAGGAGGAGGCCATGAACGAGAGTCCCCCTCCCATCATCGTGGACGGCGAGGAGGCGTACGAAGTCTTGTATTGCCCTGGCTACATTTCTGAGCGTTTATCCCCTGTTTTGAGATATCTTGTGTATTACCTTGGACTGTTACTACTAGTGTGATTCTCTGCCGCCTGCCCCGACCCTTGCTCTGCCTCTGTTTACTCTCCTGGATTAGCCCTGATGTTCGTGATGCTGTTGTTTGATTACTGCCTGTTTAACTCTGCCTTTGATTGAAATAAAAGCTGCAAATGGATCCGCACGCCTCTGACTCCTCGTTACACACAGTTCTGCTTAAATATTAAATTGTACCTAATATTTTATTGTTCTTTGTAATTTAATTGAAAACAGACCAATGTGCATTTAATACATTAAATACCAAGTATTACACTTAATTTGTTTGTTGAATATGTTTCATCACAATGAGTTGTGCTCATGCTGTTTCATTACCAAGAGGTGTCTGTTGTATTCATTGAAATTTTTGGTATATGCATTTATTTGGCACTTTTTTTAACTTTCACTATATAATTTTGTTGATAAACATCAAATTATAAATCCTAGATTATACAATAGATGTATAAAGAGGTTTCTCAATTTTGTGCTACAAATTGCTATAAAAGTGCAGTGTTTAAAATGATCAAAACTATTATTCATTAAAAAATAAAAAAATTAGGCAACAAAATAAAAACATGCATGCATCTTGAACGACCAATAAGAATCTCTAAATAGGCCTTCATATCAAAACATCAAAGGTTTATATTTATATTAAGAATGTATTTATTGGACATCTAATAACTTGACACCTTAAAAAAAAGTGACGTCCTCTCATTTTCTTAATCTTTTTTTTTCTTTAGAAAGCAATTGTTCCAGATATCAAATAAAATAAAGATTAAATGGCAAAAGCACTGAAGTTTCACATCTTGGACAACAAAATGACTATATGCAAATACTCCATCTGCTCCATGTACTAAAGTGAAGTGTGTCTGAGGCACAGAAGGAGAAATTCACATCATTTTTAATCATGATCTTCTCATCAGCTCTGCTACTGCTGGTGGCAGCTGCATCCTGTGAGCTTGACTGATTTTTTATTCAATCTATAACAGTGAAATAAGCTTCTGTTAACAGACGTTTTGAGACATAACTAATAACACATTCTTTCATTGTTATTTTCAGGTGGAGTTTTCTGTGCTGAGCTCACTCAACCTCCATCTATGGTTGTGAAACCTCAAGAATCATTCTCCATCTCCTGCAGGATTTCAGTATCAAGCTATTGCATTTACTGGATCCGTCAACCCACTGGAAAAGCACTGGAATGGCTCGGATATCTTTGTAGTGGTGGTGGCACTGACATTAAAGACTCAGTGAAAAATAAGATCAGTTTCACCCAGGACACGTCCAAAAACACAGTGTTTCTACAGGGAAATAATTTTCAGACTGAGGACACAGCTGTGTATTATTGTGCAAGACAGTCACAGTAACTAAACAAGCCACAGCTCTGTACAAAAACCTGAACACATGCAAGAACCAGATATACATAATACCAGGGGCATTTCTAGCCTTTCATCAGCATCCAAAAACGTCTCAGGTTACTTATGTAACCATGGTTCCCTGAGTAGGGAACGAGTCACTGCGTCCTCTAGGGGTCAGCATACATTGAAAAAACACCAACAACACGTTGGTCGGCGACAGCCCATGGCGTCACTACCGGTGCGACTACAGTATAAATAGGCACCGGGAGAACATGTCATTCTCTTCTTCGTCTTCACTGACTGTTTTGTTTGAAGCGTGCATTTCCGTGGTAAGAGCAATCTATATTCCTATCGTATATTCCTAACGGATCTGACTCAAAAAGATCCGGTTACGCTAATAAAATTTGGCAATTAAAAATTGTTTTTACATTTGTTAGTGAATCAGATAATTACTGCTTTTCAGGTAACTCAGAAGTCTTCTGAGAAATCTAATCCCGTCCGGATATGTCTGAGATTCATCGCGTAATTGTTTGGTGATCCGATTCTCCGACCGCTCGCTTCACTTTCATCATGGATATAAGCCGTAACAATAGCATGAAATCATCTCGGTTACGTATGTAACCTTGGTTCCCTGAATAGGGAATGAGATGCTGCGATGACGTCATCGCTTTGGGAACACCTTTGGTGTGACGAATTGTCTGAAGCCCTTATACCATCTCGCCAATTCATTGGCCAAATAGCGCTTAGCACCGCCCCCAACGCTCACATAGGTGAGCTATATTAGCGTGCTGCACGCTATTTAATCAGATTTCCACTGATTTACGAAGGAAGCGCTATCTTCCTGTTCCGTATCTTAAGGTACGGAACAGCCCGCATCGCAGCATCTCGTTCCCTATTCAGGGAACCAAGGTTACATACGTAACCGAGATGTTCCCTCTCATAGGTTCACTTCAATGCTGCGATGACGTCATCGCTTTGGGAACGCTATACCATAATACCTGACGTACCTTTAGATAGCTGGAAGACCAAGGAAAGCGTCTGCTCAAGCGGATAAAACCTGGGAGCCAGGAGTCAACCTCATGTCCAGACTGTAAAACTTGATGAAGGTGCTAGGAGAGGACCATCCTGCCGCAACACAAACATCTTCCAAAGAGGACCCTTTGAAGAAGGCCTGAGAAGAAGCCACTGCTCTTGTTGAATGAGCACGCACCCCTAAAGGCGAAGTCAAACCATGCGCCTCATAGGCCAAAGATATAGCCTCCACTATCCAGTGTGACATCCGCTGTTTAGTGACAGCAGAGCCTCTGCTCTTTCCACCAAAACACACAAATAGCTGGTCAGATCCACGCCACTGTGCCATGCGGCCTCTAAAACCACTTGCTGAAAGCGAAACGTAGTCGAAGCGACCTTAGGAACATAATCAGGCCTAGGTCACAAAAAAACTTTAACCAGTTTAAAAAGGATGGCCTCTCAGGCCCTCCAAAACAATTGATAAATCCCAAGACGGAACTCGTGCTGGGTGGAAAGGCCTAAGCCGTCTTGAACCATGCATAAAACGGGAGACCAAGGGGTGGCGACCAACCGATGCACCTCCCACAAGTGCATGCCCCGCCG